CGGCCTCTCTCTCTCTAGCTCCTGCCTCTCTCTAGCTCCTGCCTCTCTCTAGCTTCTGCCTCTCTCTTGCTCCTTCCTCTCTCTCTAGCTCCTGCCTCTCTCTAGCTCCTGCCTCTCTCTAGCTCCTGCCTCTCTCTAGCTTCTGCCTCTCTCTAGCTCCTGCCTCTCTCTAGCTCCTGCCTCTCTCTAGCTTCTGCCTCTCTCTAGCTCCTGCCTCTCTCTAGCTCCTGTCTCTCTCTAGCTTCTGCCTCTCTCTATATCCTGCCTCTCTCTAGCTCCTGCCTCTCTCTAGCTCCTGCCTCTCTCTAGCTCCTGCCTCTCTCTAGCTTCTGCCTCTCTCTAGCTCCTGCCTCTCTCTAGCTCCTGCCTCTCTCTAGCTCCTGCCTCTCTCTCTAGCTCCTGCCTCTCTCTAGCTCCTGCCTCTCTCTAGCTTCTGCCTCTCTCTAGCTCCTGCCTCTCTCTAGCTCCTGCCTCTCTCTAGCTCCTGCCTCTCTCTAGCTCCTGCCTCTCTCTAGCTCCTGCCTCTCTCTAGCTTCTGCCTCTCTCTAGCTCCTGCCTCTCTCTAGCTGCTGCCTCTCTCTAGCTTCTGCCTCTCTCTAGCTCCTGCCTCTCTCTAGCTCGTGCCTCTCTCTAGCTCCTGCCTCTCTCTAGCTCCTGCCTCTCTATAGCTCCTTCCTCTCTCTAGCTTCTGCCTCTCTCTCTAGGTCCTGCCTCTCTCTAGCTCCTGCCTCTCTCTAGCTTCTGTCTCTCTCTCTAGCTCCTGCCTCTCTCTCTAGCTCCTGCCTCTCTCTATATCCTGCGTCTCTCTAGCTCCTGCCTCTCTCTAGCTACTGCCTCTCTCTAGCTCCTTCCTCTCTCTCTAGCTCCTGCCTCTCTCTATATCCTGCCTCTCTCTAGCTCGTGCCTCTCTCTAGCTACTGCCTCTCTCTAGCTCCTGCCTCTCTCTATCTCTACCTCCTGCCTCTCAATAGCTCCTACCTCGCTCTCTGGCTCCTGCCTCTCTCTAGGTCCTGCGTCTCTCTACCTCCTGCCTCTCTCTAGGTCTTGCCTCTCTCTCTAGCTCCTGCCTCTCTCTAGCTCCTGCCTCTCCCGAGCTCCTGCTTCTCTCTAGCTCCTGCCTCTCTCTTGCTAATGCCTCTCTCTAGCTCCTGCCTCTCTCTCTCTAGCTCCTTCCTCTCTCTAGCTCCTGCATCTCTCTAACTCCTGCCTCTACCGAGCTCCTGCATCTCTCTAGCTCCTGCCTCTTTCTCTAGCTCCTTCCTCGCTCTAACACCTGCCTCTCTCTAGCTCCTGCCTCTCTCTCTCTAGCCCCTGTCTCTCTCTAGCTCCTGTTTCTCTCTAGCTCTTGCCTCTCTCTATCTCCTGCCTCTCTCTCTCTAGTTCCTGCCTCTCTCTCTCTAGCTTCTGCCTCTCTCTAGCTCCTGCCTCTCTCTCTAGCTCTTGCCTCTCTCCAGCTGCTGCCTCTCTCCAGCTCGTGCCTCTCTCAAGCTACTGCCTCTCTCTCTAGCTGATGCCTCTCTCCAGCTCCTGCCGCTCTCTAGCTCCTGCCCCTCTCTCTAGCCTCAGTCTCACTCTAGCTTCTGGCTCTCTCCAGCTCCTGCCTCTCTCTCTAGCTCCTGCCTCTCTCTAGCTCGTGCCTCCCTCTCTGCGTGCCCCCTGCCTTCTCTCTAGCGCGTGTCTTCCTCTTTAGCTCCTGCCTCTCTCACAAACTTCTGCCTCTCTCTAGCTCCTGCCTCTCTCTATAGCCCCTGCCTCTCTCTAGCTCCTGCCCCTCTCTCTAGCCTCTGTCTCACTCTAGCTTCTGGCTCTCTCCAGCTCCTGCCTCTCTCTCTAGCTCCTGCCTCTCTCTAGCTCGTGCCTCCCCCTCTGCGTGCCTCCTGCCTTCTCTCTAGCGCGTGTCTTCCTCTCTAGCTCCTGCCTCTCTCTAGCTCCTGCCTCTCTCTGGGCTCCTGCCTCTCTCTAGCTCCTGCCTATCTCTCTAGTTCCTGCCTCTCTCTAGCTCCTGCCTATCTCTAGCTCCTGCCTCTCTCTCTCTAGCTCCTGCCTCTCTCTAGCTCCAGCCTCTCTCTAGCTCCTGCCTCTCGCGAGCTTCTGCCTCTCTCTCTAGCTTCTGCCTCTCTCTAGCTCCTGCCTCTCTCTAGCTCCGGCCTCTCTCTAGCTCCGGCCTCTCTCTAGCTCCTGCCTCTCTCTAGCTCCTGCCTCTCTCTAGCTCCTGCCTCTCTCTCTAGCTCCTGCCTCTCTCTATCTCCTGCCTCTCTCTCTCTAGTTCCTGCCTCTCTCTAGCTCCATCCTCTTTCTCTAGCTTTTGCCTCTCTCTAGCTCCTGCCTCTCTCTAACTCCTGCCTCTCTCTAGCTCCTGCCTCTCTCTCTCTAGCTCCGGCCTCTCTCTCTCTAGCTCCTGCCTCTCTCTAGCTCCTGCCTCTCTCTAGCTTCTGCCTCTCTCTTGCTCCTTCCTCTCTCTCTAGCTCCTGCCTCTCTCTAGCTCCTGCCTCTCTCTAGCTCCTGCCTCTCTCTAGCTTCTGCCTCTCTCTAGCTCCTGCCTCTCTCTAGCTCCTGCCTCTCTCTAGCTTCTGCCTCTCTCTAGCTCCTGCCTCTCTCTAGCTCCTGTCTCTCTCTAGCTTCTGCCTCTCTCTATATCCTGCCTCTCTCTAGCTCCTGCCTCTCTCTAGCTCCTGCCTCTCTCTAGCTCCTGCCTCTCTCTAGCTTCTGCCTCTCTCTAGCTCCTGCCTCTCTCTAGCTCCTGCCTCTCTCTAGCTCCTGCCTCTCTCTCTAGCTCCTGCCTCTCTCTAGCTCCTGCCTCTCTCTAGCTTCTGCCTCTCTCTAGCTCCTGCCTCTCTCTAGCTCCTGCCTCTCTCTAGCTCCTGCCTCTCTCTAGCTCCTGCCTCTCTCTAGCTCCTGCCTCTCTCTAGCTTCTGCCTCTCTCTAGCTCCTGCCTCTCTCTAGCTGCTGCCTCTCTCTAGCTTCTGCCTCTCTCTAGCTCCTGCCTCTCTCTAGCTCGTGCCTCTCTCTAGCTCCTGCCTCTCTCTAGCTCCTGCCTCTCTATAGCTCCTTCCTCTCTCTAGCTTCTGCCTCTCTCTCTAGGTCCTGCCTCTCTCTAGCTCCTGCCTCTCTCTAGCTTCTGTCTCTCTCTCTAGCTCCTGCCTCTCTCTCTAGCTCCTGCCTCTCTCTATATCCTGCGTCTCTCTAGCTCGTGCCTCTCTCTAGCTACTGCCTCTCTCTAGCTCCTTCCTCTCTCTCTAGCTCCTGCCTCTCTCTATATCCTGCCTCTCTCTAGCTCGTGCCTCTCTCTAGCTACTGCCTCTCTCTAGCTCCTGCCTCTCTCTATCTCTACCTCCTGCCTCTCAATAGCTCCTACCTCGCTCTCTGGCTCCTGCCTCTCTCTAGGTCCTGCGTCTCTCTACCTCCTGCCTCTCTCTAGGTCTTGCCTCTCTCTCTAGCTCCTGCCTCTCTCTAGCTCCTGCCTCTCCCGAGCTCCTGCTTCTCTCTAGCTCCTGCCTCTCTCTTGCTAATGCCTCTCTCTAGCTCCTGCCTCTCTCTCTCTAGCTCCTTCCTCTCTCTAGCTCCTGCATCTCTCTAGCTCCTGCCTCTACCGAGCTCCTGCATCTCTCTAGCTCCTGCCTCTTTCTCTAGCTCCTTCCTCGCTCTATCACCTGCCTCTCTCTAGCTCCTGCCTCTCTCTCTCTAGCCCCTGTCTCTCTCTAGCTCCTGTTTTTCTCTAGCTCTTGCCTCTCTCTATCTCCTGCCTCTCTCTCTCTAGTTCCTGCCTCTCTCTCTCTAGCTTCTGCCTCTCTCTAGCTCCTGCCTCTCTCTCTAGCTCTTGCCTCTCTCCAGCTGCTGCCTCTCTCCAGCTCGTGCCTCTCTCAAGCTACTGCCTCTCTCTCTAGCTGATGCCTCTCTCCAGCTCCTGCCGCTCTCTAGCTCCTGCCCCTCTCTCTAGCCTCAGTCTCACTCTAGCTTCTGGCTCTCTCCAGCTCCTGCCTCTCTCTCTAGCTCCTGCCTCTCTCTAGCTCGTGCCTCCCTCTCTGCGTGCCCCCTGCCTTCTCTCTAGCGCGTGTCTTCCTCTCTAGCTCCTGCCTCTCTCACAAGCTTCTGCCTCTCTCTAGCTCCTGCCTCTCTCTATAGCCCCTGCCTCTCTCTAGCTCCTGCCCCTCTCTCTAGCCTCTGTCTCACTCTAGCTTCTGGCTCTCTCCAGCTCCTGCCTCTCTCTCTAGCTCCTGCCTCTCTCTAGCTCGTGCCTCCCTCTCTGCGTGCCTCCTGCCTTCTCTCTAGCGCGTGTCTTCCTCTCTAGCTCCTGCCTCTCCCTAGCTCCTGCCTCTCTCTGGGCTCCTGCCTCTCTCTAGCTCCTGCCTATCTCTCTAGTTCCTGCCTCTCTCTAGCTCCTGCCTATCTCTAGCTCCTGCCTCTCTCTCTAGCTCCTGCCTCTCTCTATCTCCTGCCTCTCTCTCTCTAGTTCCTGCCTCTCTCTAGTTCCTGCCTCTCTCTAGCTCCTGCCTCTCTCTAGTTTCTGCCTCTCTCTAGCTCCTGCCTCTCTCTCTCTCTAGCTCCGGCCTCTCTCTAGCACCTGCCTCTCTCTAGCTCATGCCTCTCTCCAGTTCCTGCCTCTCTCTAGCTCCTGCCTCTCTCTAGCTCCTGCCTCTCTCCAACTCCTGCCTCTCTCTAGCTCCTGCCTCTCTCCAGCTCATGCCTCTCTCTAGCTCCTACCTCTCTCTAGCTCCTGCCTCTCTCTAGCTCCTGCCTCTCTATATAGTTCCTGCCTCTCTCTAGCTCCTGTCTCTGTTGGCAGTATGATACAATAAGGGTGTGGGTGTTGGCAGTGTGATACAATAAGGGTGTGGGTGATGGCAGTGTGATACAATAAGGGTGTGGGTGTTGGCAGTGTGATACAATAAGGGTGTGGGTGTTGGCAGTGTGATACAATAAGGGTGTGAGTGTTGGCAGTGTGATACAATAAGGGTGTGGGTGTTGGCAGTGTGATACAATAAGGGTGTGGGTGTTGGCAGGGTCCCGTGAGCGTGGCGGTGTACACCCCGGGAGAGGACTTCCAACACACCGTCGAGGTCGTCCTCCACCTCCGCAACTGTGGCGGACCCAACATCCAGGACCTCGTCAGCTTCCACTTTATCTTCCCCACCGCTCACCCCCCTCCCCAGGTGAGTGTTGTGGCCAGGTGTTGTGTGCCACGGTGACAGTGTTGTGGCCAGGTGTTGTGTGTCATGGTGACAGTGTTGTGGCCAGGTGTTGTGTGTCACGGTGACAGTGTTGTGGCCAGGTGTTGTGTGTCATGGTGACAGTGTTGTGGCCAGGTGTTGTGTGTCACGGTGACAGTGTTGTGGCCAGGTGTTGTGTGTCATGGTGACAGTGTTGTGGCCAGGTGTTGTGTGCCACGGTGACAGTGTTGTGGCCAGGTGTTGTGTGTCATGGTGACAGTGTTGTGGCCAGGTGTTGTGTGTCACGGTGACAGTGTTGTGGCCAGGTGTTGTGTGTCATGGTGACAGTGTTGTGGCCAGGTGTTGTGTGCCACGGTGACAGTGTTGTGGCCAGGTGTTGTGTGTCACGGTGACAGTGTTGTGGCCAGGTGTTGTGTGTCACGGTGACAGTGTTGAGGCCAGGTGTTGTGTCACAGTGACAGTGTTGTGGCCAGGTGTTGTGTGCCACGGTGACAGTGTTGTGGCCAGGTGTTGTGTGTCATGGTGACAGTGTTGTGTCCAGGTGTTGTGTCACAGTGACAGTGTTGTGGCCAGGTGTTGTGTGTCATGGTGACAGTGTTGTAGCCAGGTGTTGTGTGTCATGGTGACAGTGTTGTGGCCAGGTGTTGTGTGTCATGGTGACAGTGTTGTAGCCAGGTGTTGTGTGTCACAGTGACAGTGTTGTAGCCAGGTGTTGTGTGTCACAGTGACAGTGTTGTAGCCAGGTGTTGTGTGTCACAGTGACAGTGTTGTGGCCAGGTGTTGTGTGTCATGGTGACAGTGTTGTAGCCAGGTGTTGTGTGTCACAGTGACAGTGTTGTGTCCAGGTGTTGTGTGTCATGGTGACAGTGTTGTAGCCAGGTGTTGTATGTCATGGTGACAGTGTTGTGTCCAGGTGTTGTGTGTCACGGTGACAGTGTTGTAGCCAGGTGTTGTGTGTCACAGTGACAGTGTTGTAGCCAGGTGTTGTGTGTCACAGTGACAGTGTTGTGTCCAGGTGGTGTGTGTCATAATGACAGTGTTGTAGCCAGGTGTTGTGTGTCATGGTGACAGTGTTGTAGCCAGGTGTTGTGTGTCATGGTGACAGTGTTGTGGCCAGGTGTTGTGTGTCACAGTGACAGTGTTGTGGCCAGGTGTTGTGTGTCACGGTGACAGTGTTGTAGCCAGGTGTTGTGTGTCACAGTGACAGTGTTGTAGCCAGGTGTTGTGTGTCACAGTGACAGTGTTGTAGCCAGGTGTTGTGTGTCACAGTGACAGTGTTGTAGCCAGGTGTTGTGTGTCACAGTGACAGTGTTGTAGCCAGGTGTTGTGTGTTACAGTGACAGTGTTGTGGCCAGGTGTTGTGTGTCACAGTGACAGTGTTGTAGCCAGGTGTTGTGTGTCATGGTGACAGTGTTGTAGCCAGGTGTTGTGTGTCATGGTGACAGTGTTGTGTCCAGGTGTTGTGTGTCATGGTGACAGTGTTGTGGCCAGGTGTTGTGTGTCACGGTGACAGTGTTGTGGCCAGGTGTTATGTGTCATGGTGACAGTGTTGTGGCCAGGTGTTGTGTGTCACAGTGACAGTGTTGTAGCCAGGTGTTGTGTGTCATGGTGACAGTGTTGTGTCCAGGTGTTGTGTGTCATGGTGACAGTGTTGTGGCCAGGTGTTGTGTGTCACGGTGACAGTGTTGTAGCCAGGTGTTGTGTGTCATGGTGACAGTGTTGTGTCCAGGTGTTGTGTGTCATGGTGACAGTGTTGTAGCCAGGTGTTGTGTGTCACAGTGACAGTGTTGTGGCCAGGTGTTGTGTGTCATGGTGACAGTGATGTGGCCAGGTGTTGTGTGTCATGGTGACAGTGTTGTAGCCAGGTGTTGTGTGTCATGGTGACAGTGTTGTGGCCAGGTGTTGTGTGTCACAGTGACAGTGTTGTAGCCAGGTGTTGTGTGTCACAGTGACAGTGTTGTGGCCAGGTGTTGTGTGTCACAGTGACAGTGTTGTAGCCAGGTGTTGTGTGTCACAGTGACAGTGTTGTGGCCAGGTGTTGTGTGTCATGGTGACAGTGTTGTAGCCAGGTGTTGTGTGTCATGGTGACAGTGTTGTAGCCAGGTGTTGTGTGTCACAGTGACAGTGTTGTGGCCAGGTGTTGTGTGTCACAGTGACAGTGTTGTGGCCAGGTGTTGTGTGTCATGGTGACAGTGTTGTAGCCAGGAGTTGTGTGTCACAGTGACAGTGTTGTGGCCAGGTGTTGTGTGTCACAGTGACAGTGTTGTAGCCAGGTGTTGTGTGTCACGGTGACAGTGTTGTAGCCAGGTGTTGTGTGTCACAGTGACAGTGTTGTGGCCAGGTATTGTGTGTCACAGTGACAGTGTTGTGGCCAGGTGTTGTGTGTCATGGTGACAGTGTTGTGGCCAGGTGTTGTGTGTCATGGTGACAGTGTTGTAGCCAGGTGTTGTGTGTCATGGTGACAGTGTTGTAGCCAGGTGTCACGTTCTAGTGAATAACACCAGTGTAGTGGACGGAAGAATTCAGCTTGTTAAGAACGCCAGGGTGGTGGTCGGAGTTGCTCAGCTTGTTGAGAACGTGAGAGCAGTGGACGTAGGGATGCAGCTTGTTAAGAACGCCAGGAGGGTGGACGGAGGGGCGTAGCATATTGAGAACGCAAGGATGGTGAGCGGAGGGACGCAGTGTTGGACGACTCGACACCATTTACTAATATTCAATACAATAGGCAGATATTATTGCTGCTGAGTTGTATATATATAAATTCACTAAGAGAAGACGTGGTCCAGTGGTATTTTCCTCCCGTAGAAAGCGGAGATATCATTGCCATGTCGCTATTAAATTCCCCAGCTATTATGCTGGGAATTATTCTTAATACAGCAGTCTTTGAACTGTTAACCTCATAAAAAACATTTCACTTGAAATAACTTGATAATCAGTACCAAAATAGAGTAAATGTGACCTTTATACCGTTTGTTGACATCTGGACAAAGAGAGCCAGGGGCAGTGCAGGATGTCGTAGTCTTCTATTGTTCTTAAGACAACAGGTCGCTGGAGCAAGTTCAGCTCCAATAATTCTCCTTTGGACGAAGTGTTATGGAGATTAAATTAGTGATTCTTCCATCGTCAACACCCAGTCAACATATAAACAAGGGAAGTGTCTTTCCGAAATCTTATCTAGTCATTCCTGGCCAGTAATGTTATCGTGGTAGGATTATTTCCGGTTAGATTACAAGAAAGCGACCAACCCAGAGTGAGAAATATTCTCATATCTTTATTTAAATTGCAATATTTCATCTGATATAGCTGTCATATTTATATATATATATATATATATATATATATATATATATATATATATATATATATATATATATATATATATATATATATATATATATATATATATATATATATATATATATATATATATATATATATATATATATATATATATATATTATATATAATATATATATATATATATATATATATATATATATATATATATATATATATATATATATATATGCGAACAAGCCTGAATGGTCCCCAGGACAATATGCAACTGAAAACTCACACCCCAGAAGTGACTCGAACCCATACTCCCAGGAGCAACGCAACTGGTATGTACAAGACGCCTTAATCCACTTGACCATCACGACCGGACATAATGAGGTGATAGCCTAAGCTATTTGAACCACCCCACCGCCGGCACTCGGATAGTAATCTTGGGCATAGCATTTTACCAAATCACCTCATTCTTTGGGGCACACGTGAGGAACACAAATGCGAACAAGCCTGAATGGTCCCCAGGACAATATGCAACTGAAAACTCACACCCCAGAAGTGACTCGAACCCATACTCCCAGGAGCAACGCAACTGGTATGTACAAGACGCCTTAATCCACTTGACCATCACGACCGGACATAATGAGGTGATAGCCTAAGCTATTTGAACCACCCCACCGCCGGCACTCGGATAGTAATCTTGGGCATAGCATTTTACCAAATCACCTCATTCTTTGGGGCACATGTGAGGAACACAAATGCGAACAAGCCTGAATGGTCCCCAGGACAATATGCAACTGAAAACTCACACCCCAGAAGTGACTCGAACCCATACTCCCAGAAGCAACGCAACTGGTATGTACAAGACGCCTTAATCCACTTGACCATCACGACCGGACATAATGAGGTGATAGCCTAAGCTATTTGAACCACCCCACCGCCGGCACTCGGACAGTAATCTTGGGCATAGCATTTTACCAAATCACCTCATTCTTTGGGGCACACGTGAGGAACACAAATGCGAACAAGCCTGAATGGTCCCCAGGACAATATGCAACTGAAAACTCACACCCCAGAAGTGACTCGAACCCATACTCCCAGGAGCAACGCAACTAGTATGTACAAGACGCCTTAATCCACTTGACCATCACGACCGGACATAATGAGGTGATAGCCTAAGCTATTTGAACCACCCCACCGCCGGCACTCGGATAGTAATCTTGGGCATAGCATTTTACCAAATCACCTCATTCTTTGGGGCACACGTGAGGAACACAAATGCGAACAAGCCTGAATGGTCCCCAGGACAATATGCAACTGAAAACTCACACCCCAGAAGTGACTCGAACCCATACTCCCAGGAGCAACGCAACTGGTATGTACAAGACGCCTTAATCCACTTGACCATCACGACCGGACATAATGAGGTGATAGCCTAAGCTATTTGAACCACCCCACCGCCGGCACTCGGATAGTAATCTTGGGCATAGCATTTTACCAAATCACCTCATTCTTTGGGACACACGTGAGGAACACAAATGCGAACAAGCCTGAATGGTCCCCAGGCCAATATGCAACTGAAAACTCACACCCCAGAAGTGACTCCAACCCATACTCCCAGGAGCAACGCAACTGGTATGTACAAGACGCCTTAATCCACTTGACCATCACGACCGGACATAATGAGGTGATAG